AATGGAATTTGTACCAATTAACATTCAGCTTGTATTCCACTGAAAGTTGCTCTTAGCTTTTGACTAGTCTAAATTTACTTTACAACTATTTAGGCACATCTTTGAATTCTTTGGACCCTGATAAACAGAGTTAGAAGCTAACACCTTCCTTGTGGCAATTTAATTGTGAGAAATGTACACTGGCCAGAGTCCCTTAAACCTAAAGGCCTTGAGACTCTGAGGCTGCCTGTACTACCTCGAGACCATACTTCATACAGTAACTCACAGTATAAGGGAGATCAGCTACTAGATAAACATTCCATGCTCCCCCCATTGACAGTCAAATATGATTAATAGATAAGGAGGGCCAACAATTAATAGCAAATTACTCTTCCCCCACTTCCACCCTTTTTCTGACTGAAAGAATTTTATTAGTCTCCCCAGAAATGTGAAGTAAATCCACACAGATTACGTGGTGTCACCATCAAATTATGAAAGTGTTTCTACTATCAAAATTATAAGGAGAAGCTAATGGAACGTTGAGACAGCCTGGCTCCCGTGCAGTGATACACATCTAGTAACATTCTGTTCATCTGTCAATTTTTTCATGAATTAGCATAAAATGCCACCCTACCCCAGTTGGTCTTTGTTCATTCTTACATGACAGGACATCCCGAGAGGGACAACGCCCACGTCCCATGGCCTTTTCTGCAATCATCCTGTCTCTGCTCTTCATCTCTCCAACGACCTTTCTTTTCCAAAAAGGTCATGCTGAGGTCAGTTGGAAAGGCTTCCTGAGAGAGTGGCTTGAGGGTCTGGGCTTGTTCCAGTAGCATCCTGGCTTGGTTCTGCTGCTACAGCATCGTGTTATTGTTTTCGTAACTTTATTTTATGTAATTTCAAACTTACGAAAAGTTACAAGAATAGAGCAAGGAACCCGCATGAACCTTTTGGTGCCTTTTGCCCAGACTCACCAGCTGTTTACAGGGTGAACGGGAGCATCCTTCCAGATCCTTCTACTCTCTCCGGACATATTTATAGGCTGGGTATATTTGGGGGAGAGCCATTAGGAGCACGTGGGAGACCTGTGCACCTTCCCACCAGATATTTCAGTGTTTATTTCCCAAAAACAGGGATATTATGAGAGTGAGTTGTCGAAATCAGAAAACCAACAGGGTCATGACGCTAGTCGGGCTAGTGTGTGTTCCCATCTCATCAGGCTCGAGAGAATGCTCGGATCACTGACCAGTGGAGGCAATCAGAGCGAGAGCTGCTGCGTCTTCCTACGTTCAGATCTGCACCTGCCCGCGTGCTGCCCAGTGCCTGCTCCACCTGGGCCACTGCACCCCCCTGCCCTGCACCCCAGCCCCCTCCCGGTGACTCTTGTCGCTGTCAGCTCACAAGGGATCTAGTACCTCTTCCTGGACCCCATGTTACCCTCCAGCTACCCCTCCAATTCGTTTGGTCCTCTTTTTTTCTTTGCAGCAGAGTTTCTTAAGAGTTATGTAGACTCACTACCTCTGTGTCTTTCCTTGGCTCACTCCAGGGACTTTCTTCCCCACAAATCTCGCTCTTCTCACAGAGGCCAACAGCCTCCATTTTGCCTCCGGTCAGGCTTCAGCTCCTTCCATCTCAGCAGCGGCTGCGGCTGAGTCCCGCTCTTCTGCGCCCGGTTCTTCACGTGCTGGCCGGACTCCTCCCTCTTCTGTTGCCTTTGCAGACTCTTGGCTGTTCCTCCTCAGTTTCACTGTCTCCTCCTCTCCCGACCTCTAACTTATTGGACGGACCCGAAGCTCAACCCTTCCTTGTTTTCTCTATACTCTTTTTTTTTTTTAAATAAAGCTTTATTTATTTATATATACAAGCACTGGGTACAGTCAGAAGCACGGGAGGGTGAGAGGATTCACCAGAGCCAGAGCAGGGAACAGAACAGGCAGACTGATGAAATACACTGCTGAGGGAAGCAGCGGGTGTGGCAGGAGAGGTCTGCGCGCCATGTGGGACCCTCACCCGGTGGCCGGGGATCGAACCAGCGCTGCAGAGGCTGTGGGCAGCTTCGCAGCCCAGCGCTCAACCGCTGCGCCACTGGGGAGGCCCTCAACCCTTCCTTTTCTTCTCTATACTCTTTACATGATGCTTCTTAACCCATTAGCCTGGTGCCCACCTGTTAGAATTAGTACTTTACTAGGTGAAAATGAAGGTAATATATCCTTCCAACACATAATTTTAAAAAATAGCATTATGCTGTGATTGTAATATGAAGGAAAATGATAGGAATATAATTGATAACAGAATAATCATTAAATTCTTGTACACAAGTATGTATTAAAAGATTTAAACACGTGCCCCTCTGGCCGGAGCAAGTCAGCAGAGTCACTGTAACAGGATTTTCTGACACAGTGAAACTCATGAGGAAATTCTAAACAAAAAGAAATTAAATGTCCCCACAGTTTACATGGTGGGTCTATTTCTAGAAAAATTCCATGTAAAGAATAAGCCTTTGTGGGCCTCCCTGGTGGTGCAAAGGGTTAAGCACTGCACTATGAAGCAATCCGCAGCCTCTACAGCATGAGTTCGATCCCTGGCTGGCCACGGAGCAACCCACATGGCGCAGGAGGCTTCTCCTGACTGGCCCACTACTCCCCTCAGTGTATTTCAGTCAGTCTGCCTGTTCTGTTCTGTTCCCTGCTCCGTCTCTGTTCCCTGCTCTGTCTCTGGTGGATTCTCTCACCCCCCTACCCCCGCATCTCTGGCCTGTACCCCAGCTCTTGTATGCATAAATAAATAAATCTTTAAAAAAAAAAAAAAAGAATAAGCCTTTGGATTTCTACGTAAAATGGCGTAGGTTCTAGGTTCAAATCATGAACAGACTTTCCTCATCTACGTGAATGTTTGTCTCGGTACTTGGAAGCTTATGGGGATTTAGAATATTTCTGTATTAGATGGGACTCGGGCAATTGTCTAGATTCCCATCCTCTTCCCACTGAATGCCAGCAGCTCCCTCAATGTGACCAAAACACCAACCAGGGTCACACCTGGAGTTCCCCGCTAGCCGCAAGGGGGCAGTATTGCCCTACTTAGCACCACCACCCAGCCAAGCCCATCCCACCCCAGGGCTTCCCGTGTGCGGCTCCCATCCAACCAGCTGCCTGCCCGTCGACTCCCCTGACATCCAACGGTCATCTCAGACCCACCTGCGCAATCATCTCCTGCTCTTCTCCCTCAAACGTCCCCTTCTGCCTGTTTTGGTCAATGACACAAGAGCCTTGCTGCTTGAGCAGAAATCCTCCTTGACCCCTCTCCTCTATCACCCACATGTCACATCCACCTGCTGCAGACCTCTTCCTGGTCCAAACACTCCCCCCACCAGTGTGGTTCCTCGACGGTTCTGGTAAAATAAACCCTAGTTCTTGTGCCGCTACCTGTCAGTCAGGTCCCAGGTGTCTTCGCAGGTGGCAGTTGTGATTGGGCCTCCCTACTGCAACACTGGCACTTTCCCTCTGCTTCCCCCCACCTGCCCGAGTCCCAAAGGAACCCCCTTGTCAGACCCCTGCAGGGCAGCAGAGGTGTCCTCACCCATACCGGTCTTGAGTCTAACGGGCACCTGTAGTTGGTCTCAGTCACCCACTCACTCATCATTCATCCAGCGAAACGTGGTATTTCTTTTTATTTTTTTAAAGATTTATTTATTTATTTATGCAAGCGCTGGGTACAGTCAGAAGCGCGGGAGGGTGAGAGAATTCACCAGAGCCAGAGCGGGGAGCAGAGCAGGCAGACTGACGAAGTACACTGCTGAGGGGAGAGCGGGCGCTATAGGAGAGGTCTGCGCACCATATGGGACCCTCGCCAGTGGCTGGGGATCGAACCGGTGCTGCAGAGGCGGCGGACAGCTTCACAGCCCAGCGCTCAACCGCTGCGCCACCAGGGGAGGCCCCTGAAATGTGGTATTTCTGCAGAGTCATACCATGCATGGGGCTTGGCGCTCGGGAGACAAGCACCAAGAAACAAGCCGGAAGTGGGGCCTGGCGCGAGGCTGGCCTCACACTGGTGTACTGAGGCTGAGCCCCCTCGATCGCCAGAAAGCTCCTTCGGGGCTGCCACCTCCCGTGCTCCTGCCAGTAGCTCTGTCTGGACTATCTTGACATACAGAAGCTGCTGAGCTGGTTCTCTTGGCCCGTCCCCTCATTTAGGGTTGAGAACAGGTGGAGTTGGTGGGGAGAGGGATGCCTGTTGGTCTGTGGCCCCAGTAACCACAGGGAAGCCCCCCTCCCCAGGTTCTGGTCCAGACGGGGCACGGCTTGCAGTGGGGTGCTCCCACCTCGGTGGCCAGGGCTGCTCCCTGGACTGGCTTCTCCCGCCTGCAGCCCTCCCAGCAGGACTTTTGCTCCTCACTGTAGTGGACAGTCCCGGCTGTCAGGATGGGCAGCAGTGAGACCAGGAGAATGCCAGCCAGCCACCGGAATGACCTCCAGGAGAGAAGAGACGTGGGGGGCTTGGCCTGGCCGGCCAGGATGACTTGGGGAGGCAAGCAGGACTGCCTGCGGCCCCAGGGGGAAGGACTGATCACCCCGCCATGTGAAACAAGGGGAAAAGGTCTTGTCATTGTGCTTCTTCCTGGTGGCCCTGGGAAGGTGGGACTGGCCGGGGAGGTGGGGGGCAGGGATCTCCTGGTGGGATGGCTCACCTGTGCTGTGCAGGGGCTTCCTCAGAAGGTCCCCTGGGTCCAGCTGTGACCTCCCATGACCCTTGTGCGGGTAGTGATCTGAGCCTCCGGTGGTGAGGGGCCTGGCCAGGGATTCTGGGACAATGGCCAGGCCGGTGGCCATGCAGGGTGGTCCCTTCCTGCCTTCCTGATGCTGGGGTGTGGCTGGGGTGGTCAGGTTGTGGGGACCCCATGCCAGCCTTGGGGGATGGGAGGGTGAGCGCTGGCTTTTGCAGTCACAGAATGAGGCAAAAACAAGGGATGGGATGCTACTACAAATTTTGTTTTAAAAGAGAATTTAATAACAGAAATTGTCGAGATAGACCATAAACAGATCACCAGGCAGTGCATAGAGCAGGATCCTAACTTCGTCAAGTATCTATTACGTGTAAAGACAAACGTGGTAACAAGACACGAGACTGGCATTACTGAGGATACTGGCGCTGGTGTTGTTTATATTCGGAAATGTTGCCCAGCACTCTCCAGCAGGATGGGGGCCGTGTGGTGAGGAGGGGAGTGTCGCTGCCCTGTCCTCAGCCACTGCAGCCAGGACTCCTTCCGCAGGCCGGGGTTGCCGCCCAGCCCTCACCCCAAGACAGAGCACATTCTTGCTCTTCCTCTGTTCCAGGGTCCCTCCCAACTCCAGGTGGGGTGGGGGGCTGCTGTCCCACGACAGTGCCCCAGCCCAGCCCTGCTGCCAGCCTGCCCTCCCGAGCCCCTCCTGGGGCTGTTCAGCAGGAATCCAGAGTTGAGCATCGTCGGGCCGAGGTTGTCCTGGGCTGTGCCTGTGGGTTGGGGCGGACCCAGGATCTGCTTTTAGTGACGCGGTATTTCAGGGTTTGGGCAGCTGGACTCTGTCTGCTCCAGCAGGTAAATTATGGGCTTAGCAAGTCAGAAATCAAATAAACACTCCAACTGCCGATGGCTCCAGGAACGGTGGTTTCTGGGAACCTCTCCACCCAGCTAAACCTAATTCCCCCTGAGACAGGGGCCTTTTCTGTGGCTCACATGTCCTAAGGGAAACAGGACAGGGTTCCTGGGCATAAGGGACAAAGACCTCGGTGACCAGTCTGCTCTTCATTCCTAGTCTCTAGCAGACCCGACAGTGCCACCCTAGCGCCATGCCTGGTTAGAGGTGGCCCAGGCGCCATGCTCCAGGTGGGATGGTGGCTCCTTACCATGGCAGGAGGGAAAAGCTGAGTTCATTATGGTCTGAATGAAGTCCCTGCTGAGGGTTTTGAGACCTTATGCACAGCCCATGGCAACAAAGTATCCAGGTTGATTACTGATTTTCACCCTGGGCAAGGGATGCCCAGAGATGGCATCTGTGCTGCCCATCTGCCCCCTGGACCACCCCCTGCAGCCCTGTGTCTCAAGGCTGAAAGCCCCATGGAGACAGCAGAGGAAACTAGAAAATGGAACACCCTGAGGTTCTTTGCTCCTCTGGGGATCACAGTCCTTCCCCAGGCAGGCAAAGGGCAGCCCTTAAGCTTGAGGCCCATCTGACCTGTTCTTTTTCTAATAGAACTAACCCTCAGCTAACCGCCTGAGGGGCAGGTCAGGAGCCCAATGATAGCCTACGGGACCAGAGCATGTCTAGCCACGCCTGGAAATGCCCAGTGTGTGCCTGGGAGGCCGCTCTCCCACACCCAAACCTGGGGTGTGGCAAAGCCTGATTGGCCAACATCACCTCAGGTGCCCTCTGCCGTCACACTTCGATTGCAGCCTGGGGCAGGGAGAACACAGACAGGTCCTCGGGATGGACTTGTGTGCTGGCCAGAGATGGCACAGCCCGCACACCCGGGCAACTATGCTTGGGCATCAGGCCAGCGAGGGGGTCCGTCTCCCACAAGCCCCGGGGTAAGAGCAGAGTGCTTGAGGGGACGTAGGGAGGAGTGTGATGATGTCCCTGCTGCCCCTGCACGAAACCTGACAGCGTCGGAGGGCCCCTGATCTGAGAGGGCCCTGGGGACAGGCGGGCAGGGCAGGTGGGCGGGTCTCAGTGGCAGCCGCAGGCCTTGACCACCATGTTGCGGTGCTTGCGCAGGATGACGTTGTTGCTGCTGTCGTAGTAGAGCACGGAAGTGGCGCTCAGCTTGGTGGGCGCGCAGCACGCTTTGGGCACCGCGTCCGGCTTCATCAGGTGCACCTGGCCAGGGAGGGGCAGTGGGCAGAGGCATGAGAGCCACGGCCTCCTCCCAGCACCCCCAGGTCCTGTCAACTGCGGGGTCTCCGGCCACTCACCCTCCAGCTCCAACCGCTACCTGCAGCCGGGGTGGTGCTGAAGGCAATTCTGCTCCCTGCCCTCCTGACCCTGCCTGACCTGACGCCCCCAGGGCACAGCTGGGAACACTGCAACTCCCTGCGCCCCTCAGAGTCGGACCCTGCTGGTCCCACAGGTGGATCCACTGCCCCACAGGTGGGGCCTGCACCTGATGGGCCTGAGCCCCGCCCTCTGGGTCCCTTGGCTGCTCATGCTGGGCAGAAGGACCTGAGGGCTCCAGGCCATGTGACAGGCCAGGGCCGCCTGGCTGCCTGCGAGGGTGATGGGACTTGACCTGTGCAGGGGCCCGTCCCTTCTCCAGAACAGCGTTCCCACCAGAGAGGGGCCTGAAGGCGAGAGCGGCTATTCCAGCCTCCAGAAAAATACCCGTCTGCGCCTTGGCAGGGGAGCTGCGGTGTAGACAGACTCCTCGCCAGGGTCCCATCCTGGGGGCCAGGTCCGCACGAGCCCTTGGGGAGGTAGAGATCCCCCACCACCCAGGGAACAGCTGAGCGGGACCCGGATGGAGCTGTGGTGGGGGTGTGCTGCCCTCTGACCAGCGCAGCTGAGCCTGTGGAAGTCTGACCCCATGTGAGTGTTCCCCATGGGAGTGCCCGCGCGTGCACCTGCAGTGCCCCCAGGGGTGTGCCCCAGGGTGTGAGCGGTGTCCACGCTCGGGCCCACGGGGTCTGCCTGCCCAGTGTAGAGGTTTGTGTACACGCAGGGGGGAGCCCATCAGAGAAAGCGCCCTGAGTCACAGGCGGCATCCCAGCTCACTGGGGGTCTCAGGAGCCCCCTCCTCAGCGACCCTCCCAGTCTGGCCCGTGGTACTGACCAGGGACTGCAGGATGGCGTGGTTGGTGGCGTTCATGCAGGAGTCCAGCGGGAAGGAGCACTCCCCCTCACAGTAGTAGGCCGAGTAGCCCTGGGGGGCGATGACCCAGTCCTGGGGGGAGCAGGAGGGCGGTGAGTCCCGACCCTGGGGCCCCTCCCTTTCCCCCAGTCCACTTCAGGGTCCCTGCCCCTCCGCACCTCGGGCCCGTGGACCACCTCGGCCCTCCTGGGCGGTCTCCCTCCAGGCCCGACCTCTCCCGCGGGCCCCCGGCAGTCAGGGCCACGCGCTGTCCCTGCCGCCACCGTCGGGCTCCGAGTCCCTCCCCGCCCGCCCTCCGTGCCCAGGGCCTGCCGCTGCGGACACAGGGAACGCACAGGCCACCGCCCGCCCCGCCCGGGCCCAGCTCCGAGGAGTCGGCGTCTCCATGGTCAGGATTGTGATGGAAAGCGCCTTCTCACTCTAGGAGCAGCGCCCCCGCCCTTCAGAAAACCTGGTTGGGGGAAATGCATGAGAAAAGGAAAGAATCCCCCCATCCTCGCGCCTCCTGGAGAGACACCCACGACCCTCGACCCTCGGGGGCTGTCCCTGAAGAGGGCAGGAGGCCCAGAACGCACCAGCCAGCCGAGGTCCTGGAAGCTGACGTAGAGCTCGTGGCGCCGGCACACCTGCCGCCCGTCGGAGCCGGGCGCCTCATCTGCGGGGAGAAGGGGCGCGGGGTCTTCCTGGGGCTCCTGCTGTGCGCAGCGGCCAGGGGAGCACCAGGGCAGGGGACACCCTGCGCCACTTGGTCAGCAAATGAAGGGCGGGAAGTGAAACCATTTGGGCTCCACAACCTCCTCCCTGCGGTTCCGCGGGAAGCCGTCGTGGCTCCCCAAGGCGCTCAGCGCCTCCTAAGCGTCCCTGCTCTTAGCCCAGCTTCCCCTGGCTTCCAGACGGTGGGTCTCAAGACACCCCAATAAACAGCCCAGGGCACGCTCAGACACCGGGGAGACCCCAGGATATCGATGGCTCCGCCCTCGTCCCTCCTGGGCACCTCCTGGCCTCTCCCCATCTCCTGCCGAGCCCACCCACAGGTCCAGGGTCCCACATTGAGGCCAACGGGGGGCGACCCCCAGGAAGGGAAGGAGGACACGGGTGGGTCAGGCCCTTCCCTGACCCGAGGGCTCGGCCGCACACGGGGGACTGTGGCTCCCGCAGGCTCCTGGGGGGCCACCCGGGCTGCGCCCCCGGAGCAAGGGCGCCCAGTTCCCATGGAGACCTGGGGGGGGGCCTGGGGGCCCGGGAGGGCCGAGGCCCAGAGGCTGAGGTGCCGCGGCCGCGCTCTACCGGCTGGAGATGGGCCAGGAGGGGCGGCTGGAGGGGGCCTGGCGGAGCCCAGCCCCGGCCCTCACCCAAGATCCCTGGGAGTTTGTTGGGGTGCGGCAGCTCGTTGGTTTTTTTCGGCAGCCTCCTCTTCAGGGGCCTCACAGCCCGAGGGGCCCGCCCGGGACCGGGGCTCGCCCTGAAAAAAGTGACCATGAAAGGCTGTTTGGAGCGCGGGGCCCGTCGCCCCTGCAGACCGGCCAGGCCAGGATCCACGCTGAGCCCTGAGACAGAGAGAGGAGAGGGCGGTCACTCGCGCGCTGCCCGCCCGGGGACGCAGCAGCCACCTCGGCGTCCCCGGGGGGACGGAGTCCCGCGCCCAGCCCAGCGCCCGCGGTGGGTCCGAGGGAGGCCGGGAGGGGGCCTGAGCCGCTGGGGTGTGAGGGGTGGTCAGGGACCCTCCGCGGGGTCTTCACCGGAGGCTCAGCCGCTTCGCAGCGGCCTCGCGGGCCCTCCCTGCAGTGGCCTGAGCCCCCCCTGGACTGAGAAGCCCCAGAGGCCCCGGGGCTGGCCTGACCCTCCCTGCGGGGGGCGCGGGCCGAGCCAGGCTCCCACGGGTCTCAGGACCCCCAGGCGGGTCTGGGATGTTCCGGTGGGGTCTCCCCCCGCTGACCCGAGCAGCTGCAGGATGAGCGGCCCTTGCTCTGAGAGGCCCCAGCAGCTCCCACGCACCCCGGGGCCCCCAGAGGACGCCCGGGCCCTGGGCGGGGCCCCCTGACCAACGCCCCAGAGCTGGGCCCCCCACGCCTCATTCCAGAGCCACGTCTCCCGGCAGAAAGGAAAGGCGGTGGGCAGGGACGGCAGTGGGGCCTCAGCCCCGACAAGGAGGCTGTGAAAATGGGGGTTCACCCCACTGCCGTGAAAAAACACGCCGACACGGCCCGGCCCAACCACAAAACTACCTTCCTCTGCCTCTGCGCGGCCTAAGCGGTTCCTGGCTTGTTCTTTATCACAGCAACACAGTGAACGCGGAAACGCTTTGGAGGAGACTTAGCCCTCATCAACCCTGGCCTCTCCAGCACATCCTGTTCGCGTTTCTGGGGTGTTTTCAGGTCAACTTAATTTTTTTTTAAAGATTTATTTATTTATGCACAAAGAGCTGGGGCACGGGCCAGAAGTGTGGGGGGTGAGAGGATTCACCAGAGACAGCGGGGAACAGAACAGGCAGACTGATGAAATACACTGCTGAGGGGAGCAGCGGGCGGGTCAGGAGAGGTCTGCTGCGCCATGTGGGTTGCTCCCTGGCCAGGTTGCGTCTTAACCCCTTGCGCCACCAGGGAGGCCCCAGGTCAGCTTAAATTTTACACAAGTGTGAGCATAACAAAGACGTCTATAAGGGAGTCCCGGTGTTTTCACAGCAACACCTTCATCCTCCTTAAAGCGTCAACTATGAATGTTTCACACACGCAGTCACACGGGGCAAAGCCAGTTTCAATGAACCCGGAGTTAGGACCCGGGGGCCCACGGGCGGGCGGCCAGGGGCTGCGCGCTGCCCCTCCAGGCCCTGTGCTCACCCCGAGACGCCAGCACAGCGGCAGCAACGCCAGCCACGCGGTTCTCAGGCCGGTCCTCACTCACGAATCGGAGCACACGAGACTCCTTTGAGCAGACCCGGCACAAAGTGCTGAAGTAACAGCTTCTCTCTAGACACTCAGGCTATTTCCCGGCTTCCGCTCTAGAGACAAGAGCCACAGAACCGTCCTTTCCTGCGGAATCGTTTTAGACTAAACGCAGGACTGTGATGGCTAACTCACTTTTATGTTTCTCAAACACAGTGCCATCGCTCCGCTTCCCCTTGAGGGGCACACACGGCTCACACGGCACAATGTGTATGTGTGCACCCATGCTCACGCGTGCACTCCTGTACACGTGACACACACACGTGCTTGTTCCACAGCAGGGCGAGGAGGCGTCTCCATCACACGCTCCAAGCGGACAGCTGGACCCACCCCATCCTGCTCAAAGGTCAGCTCTGAACAGTGCTGCTTTAGACCCGTGTCCATGGGCCACAGGTGACTAAACAGGAATCCATCCAGGGCTAACCTTTGACCTCTGACATCACCAACACCTGCGCCCGGCCCAGTGGAGGCTCCACTCAGGAGCATCCGACTGAGAGATGTTGTTCCCACAGGAGCTGACACAGGAGAGAGAAACCCTTTGGGGGCCCAGTCATGAGGACGCTGGTCACATCCCACTTGTGAGGAGGCAGAGCCAAGAGACATGGAGGCCTGAGGCTCCAGGAGGCGGCACTGAGCTCTGGAGTGGGCGACTCTGTGGTCCACCTGGCATGGGTCTGAAGTCCACGCCTGGCTGACACTAGGCACAGCCTTGGGCAGGGCTGCCCTCCAGGCCTGAGTGCCCTAGGCCTGCAACGGGAGACCCTGGAGAGCCTGCCCACAGGGGCCAGACTGTTCCCGGCTCTTCCTTGAGCAGCTGTGTCCTCCGGACCAATGACAGGTAGACCAGTGGGGCAGGAAGTCCTGTGGGGCTCCTAAGCCAGGTCTGTGCTGGGGCTGGGAGCCCTTGGAGGCTCTCACAGGCCAGGAGCCTAGTGGGGATCCTTGGAAGCAGCTAGTCAAGGCGCCCAGTTCACAGAAGCAGAGGCTAAGGCCCAGTGAGGGCAGTGAGTGTTCTGCTTCCAGCGCAAGCTGCAACAGAGCTGGCACCCCCACCCTTCCAGCTGGAAAGGAGGCAGGTGGTTAGACCCCCTCTCCTGTCAAAGGTCTGGCAAAGGGTCCTCTAGCCCCCTTCCCACCTTCTCTGCTTTTGCTCAGCGCATCCTTGGACAGGCTCTTTCACCAGTTGGCTGCAGGGAAGGACCTATTAGGAGGTATGAGCGTGGTGGCCCACCTGGCAAACCCTCTCCTGGGGCCTAGGGTCCTTGCCTTCAGACCTGGCCTTGGGGGTGCTGACAGGCATACTCTCCCCTTGGGGGTGCTGGCAGGGTGTTCAGGTGTGCCTCAGGATGGGCGCATACAGAGGTGTAGGGTAAGGTAAAAAGCATCAGGCTTTTCTGCCCTCTTGCCACTAGGATAGATGAGAGAACCCTGTGGTCCTGAATGCATGTCTGATGGCGGGCACCTGAAGTGGGCACACCTGGGCTGAGAGACAGTTTATAAGGGCGGCGTCATGGGGACACCAGCAGAAGCCAAGAACGAATGGAAGCAGGAGAGCAGAGAAGCAGAGAAACACGAGAGAAGGCTGGAGAGCCCAGATAGAGTGAAGACTAGCCTCCCGGCCCCCTGGCCCCCCTGCCTGCCATGTGCCTGGTAAATCTAAATAAAAGACCTGCAAAAACCACTGAGGACTCTGACTCCTCCTTTACCCGGTCTGCTGGATCAGAAAACCTGCTCTGTGGTCTTCCTGCCCCTACAGGAGGCTTTCCCAGAGGCCTGGATTGGTGATGCTGCTCTACCAAGTAAGTGGGCCCCATGACACCCCCAGCCTCACCCCATTTCTGAGTCTGCCCAGTCAGGACCCAGCTTGGCAGCTGCTCCCCAGTGCTGGAGGTCAGGCCCTACTTCACGGCCCCCTCTTCTAACGCATTAGGCCAAGATCGCTCCTCTTCTCCCCAAGGCTTCCTTCCGTTCTAGGTGCCGCCTCACCCTTCCCTGCAGCCCCAGCTCAGCTGCGGTCGTGGATGTGACCTTGGTGCCACGCTGAAGGACAATCAGGACACCTGGTTAAAGTCCTTAGAGGGAATCCCAGTGTGGGAGGCGATTGGAAATCTCCCAACATCCAGATGCTCCAGAGAAACCTCTGGAAAGGGGCCCTCCCCAGATACTCCAAAAGGGGCCCAGTATCTACTTGTTCATCCCACTCCACTAGTGTCCCTGCCTCTCGATTCCAGAGTGTGCCCTCCCTTCGGGCCTAGTGGGGCCAACGAGACCGCTCCAAAGGCTTCTCTTGACCATCTGCAGCTTGTTCTTACCAACCTGCTCCCATCGGTTGTATGTACCCCTGGAGCCACAGAGAAGCAGGTGCTCCAGGCCAGCCTTTGTTTTTAATCACACACACACACACTCTCTCACACACACACACTCACACACTCTCTTTCATTTTGGTTTCTGGATGAATTTCATATGGATTCAGGATGAAATCTCTCACTGGCCCCCCTGGGTTCTAAGGAGTGTTAACAAGAGGTGAGTTTGGGGTTCCACAACAGAGAGGAAGGAGAGTGTTATGACAGCAAAGGAGCACTGTGACATAAGAAGAGAACACTCATCTTGTCCAGAAGCTAGGTTTCCAGCACGCCTCCCGTCCTGAGCTCAGCCTTGGGCAGCACACAGACGGACTGTTTATTACAGAGGGGCCTTCCTGGCGGAACTGTGAGCACCAGCTGTCCTCCCCTTTAGTTGCTCCCATTACCACTGCCCCCCAGATGTCTTGCTCCCCTTCTAAAGACACCTATTTAGCCATTAGGAGAAATAAAAAATAAAAAGGTGGGGGGCTCCTCAGGGAAACAAAATGAAATACCCCAGAAGAAAAGTCAGAGCAGCCTTATGTCCTCTGACCCCCCCAAAATCACAGATACGTGTATTTTCGCGGTTCTGGTAAAGGGGCCAAGGTGCACTCTGGGTGGCATTATCTCCTCCCCCTCCGTGCTCCACTTCATGATTCAGGATGAGGGAAGGCCCTCAGAGGGAACTCTTCCTCCTATCATCTCAAGCTGCATGGATGTAACAAATATCAAATATCTCAGACAGTGACAGGCACCCAAGCTGCTCAGCACCTGCAGCAGTTTGCTCGGCACTTACAGAAGGCACGGCACCAACACTTCTGTTTCCCTTTTTTTTTTAATTACAGTTGCATCCGTTTTGAGAGAACAAAATCGACCTGGCAGTAGAAAGTCTGAGCTGCCAGGAGAAACCTAGTCCAACCCCTGGCGAAATATGTAAATGTGACCACTGACTCCCTTTCCAGGGCTCCTCTGAGCGTAGGGTGCTCACATGCTCTGTGGCCAAGGTTTCCGCCCCACGTTAGACTGCCACCTGCTGCATGGGTCTGAGGTTGGGTGAGACCGCAAAGGCGGCCCCCGTGCTCTTTTTGATGTCGTCCACTGTCAAGCCCTCCCAGAGCTCAATCAGCGTCAGCCCTTTCTTCTTGTGCACGTCAAACACGGCCTTTTCGGTGATGATCCGGTCCACACACTTCTTCCCAGTCAGGGGCATTGTACATTTCTCCAAGATTTTGGGCTTGTTGTCCTTTGTGCAGTGCTCCATGGTGATCACCACTCTGGTCTTGGGGTTGGCCACCAAATCCATCGCACCCCCCATGCCTTTCACCTTCTTTCCAGGAATCATCCAGTTTGCCAGGTCACCGTATTTGGAAACCTGCATGGCACCTAACATGGTGAGGCTGAGGTGCCCGCCTCGGATTATGGCGAACGAGTCGTCGCTGGAGACAAAGCAGCCCCCAGGCAAGATGGTGACTGTCTGCTTGCCCGCGTTAATGAGATCTGCATCCGCGTCCTCTTTCCGTGGAAATGGACCCAGGCCCAGGATGCCATTTTCACTGTGAAGATGAACAGTCATGTTTGGGTCAATGTAACTGCTGGCCAGCAGAGGGATGCCAATGCCCAAATTGGCATACATGCCATCCTCAAATTCAAGAGCGGCGCGCCTGATGATCCGTGTCCTCACACTGCTTTTACAGGAGGCGTCCTCCTTGTCCTCTTTCCAGTATGTCAAGTGCTCGATTTTCTTCACATACTTCTCCCCCTTTATTACGCGATCTACAAAAATGTGAGGAATATGGATGTCTTCTGGGGCAAATGACCCCACATCGACAATTTCCTCAACCTCCACCACGGAGACGTCTGCAGCTTTGCACATGGGCACGTTGAAATTCCTGGCGCTTTTCCTGAAAATGACGTTTCCAGCCCGGTCCGCCTTCCAGCCTTTCACCAAAGCAAAATCTGCCGTGATGGCGTACTCCAGAAGATAATGGTGCCCGTTGAACTCCCTGATCTCTCGCGGGTTGCTAAGGATGGCGTGGTGGCCGTCCTTGTAGTACCTGATGGGCACGCCTCCCTCCTGGACCAGCGTCCCGTAGCCCGTGCGCGTGTAGAAGGCCGGCACCCCTGCGCCGCCAGCGCGGATTCGCTCGGCCAGGGTGCCCTGGGGCGTCAGCTCCAGGTCCAGCTCACCTGTCAGGTACTGCTGCTCGAAGAGGTGGTTGTCCCCCAAGTAAGAGCAGATGAAGCGGGAGATCTGCTTGGAGGCCAGTAAGTGGCTCAGCCCGAAGTTTTCCACGCCCGCGTTGGTGCTGATCACGGTCAGGTTCTTCACTCCACACTTGTTCAGCGCAGCCAGCAGGTTCTCTGGAATCCCGCAGACCCCAAAGCCCCCGACCATGACCTTCGCCCCCTCAGGGATGTCTTTCACAGCCTCCTTGGCCGTCGAGTAGAATTTGACGCGGGCGGGAACGCTGGTGGCGAAGCCACGGACCCCGCAGGTGGCCAGCGCCGGCCCGGAGCGCCCCACGGGCCCGCAGCGCGCGAGCGCGCAAGCCAGGAGCCGCCCGGCCGCCATCGCGCGCGCAGGCTCCGAGGTCCGAGGTCCGTGCGGAGGGCAGCCACCTCTGCAATCCTGCGCCCTCGCCCCGTGGTGGGTTGTTGTTGCTGCCGCCGCTGCGTCACAGAGCAGGACGGGCACTCTGGGTGGCAGGCACCACCCCCCTCACCCTCCCAGCCCCCCAGAGCTGGGACACTAAGAGGACCTGCCAGGGATTGGGAGCTGCTGGATCTCCCCTGTGGGGCCCGAAGGAAGGGAGCCATCCACTCCTCGCTCTACCCCTTCCCAGGCACCCGCTCCAGTCCCGTGCCAGGAAACCCACTGCTATGGCCAATGGATCCCACACCTGTCCCCACACGCACTTGTCCCGGAATGACATTTCCACACTGGACAGCTTTCAGAGCTCTCAGTCACCTCACAAAGCATGATTTGCTCCCTCACACCTGACTCTTCTCTATTTCTGCCCAACATAACAACAACCTTCTAGAAGTCCACAGGCTCAGTCCCTAGGTTACCAATGATCTCTCTCCACTGGCCTCCATTTCAAGTTCGCACAGGCCACTCACTGTTGGCATCTGGACGCTGTTGCTCCTGGGGTCTTTCTGACTTCACTCTTATCCCCACAGTCTACTCAGCCCACTGATATCTGGGGGTCTTCATTTTATACATGTTAGATCACATTTTTATACCAGTTGAGCTTTTCAGAACAATTGCCAGTTTAGTGGAGTTTCCACATACCCAGACCCAATTTCCCCTGAGAAAACCTAACATTTAAATCCCTATATACAATAGATGACTGGATCAAGAAGATGTGGTACATATACACCATGGAATATTACTCAGCATTCAAAAAAGATAAACACATGCAATTGCAGCAACATGGATGGCGCTGGAAGGGATCATGCTCAGCGAAATAAGCCAAAAAGAAAAAGAAAAATACCGGATGGTCTCACTCATAGCAGGAATCTAGAAAACTTAAATAAGGGACCAGGAAAATGAATATAAGAAAGTGAAAATCAAAATCAACAAAAAACTATGAACCAGAGACACTCTATGGGGGGTGGGGGGCGGGAGGGGAGGGATTGGGGTCAGAATGGGGGGGTTGCAAATGTATGGGGAATATAAAAATAAAATTTATTATTTAAAAATAAAAAAAAATAAATCCCTATATACATCCGGCACTTGTAATGACCCCATACCGGTATCTTATTAATTAGACGCCATCATTTATTCAAATTTCATTAGTTTTCTCAAATGTCCTTTTTCTATTCCAGGATCACACATGGCATATAGTCCGACAGTGCTTTAGGTTGCTCTCGTCACAACTGCTCAGACTTTTACTTTTTTCCCCCAAAATTTATTTATTTATGCATACAAGAAGTGGGGTGTAAGCCAGAGGTGTGGGGGGTGGGGTGAGAGGATTCACCAGAGACAGAGCGGGGAACAGAACAGGCAGATTGACTGAAATACACTGCTGAGGGGAGCAGCAGCAAGTCAGGAGAGGTCTGCTGCACCATGTGGATCAGCTCCTTGGCTGGGGATCAAACTTACGCCACAGTGACTGGCAATAGCTTGGTCGTGCTTTGTCTTTAACCCCTGTGCCACCAGGGAGGCTCAGACCTTTACTTTTTTAATGGCCTTAGCAGTTTTGTTTTTTTTTTTAGAGAGGCATGTATTTTTATTTATTTATGATTTATTTATTTGTTTTGTTTATATAGCACTGGGTACAGTCAGAAGCTTGGGAGGGTGAGAGAATTCACCAGAGCCAGAGCGGGGAGCAGAGCAGGCAGAAGGACCGAGGTACACTGCTGAGGGGAGCTCCTCCGGTGGCCGGGGAGCAGCCGGGGAGCAGCCGGGGAGCAGCCGGGGAGCAGCCGGGGAGCAGCCGGGGATCGAACCGACGCCACAGAGGCCGCGGGCAGCTTCGCAACCCAGAGCTCAACCGCTGCGCCACCGGGGAGGCCCATGGCCTTAGCAGTTTTGAGAAGTACTTGTTAGGTAGTACATAAAAGGTCCTTTAATTGGGGGTTGCTGATGTATCTCATGGTTATGAAATGAGTAGTTAAATACTCTCAGACCCTACACACACAAAACAACTTATTTTCTTTAAGATTTGCTTTCACAGACACAGCAGAGCTTGGAGACTTATCAGCAGGTGATATAACATGCATATGCACAGAGTGATGAACTTTTAATTGAGACCCAAGCCACCTGATGCTAAGGGGGCGGTGTGTCTATCCAGAGGCAGGGACCCACCAACAGAAATTCAAAACTTCAGTTCTGAAGAAAAGCCTCTGCAGGCGTCTCCATGTATGAACTGCCCAATAACTTGCCAATGAACTTCAGCCAAGTCCACATTTCTTTGCTCTTAGCCCACTCCTTAGCCAGTAAAATTCAAATCCTCTGTTCCCGCCCCCAAACCTTTATAATCTGATTCCCTTTCTTAATCAAGAAAATACACTGAAGCTTCCTCACGCCTCCTTGCCAGTCCAGCTGCAATAATTTTTTCTCGAAATCTAGCGCCATAGTATTTGGTCTCTATGCCCGTTGAGCAGTGAGTCCACATACTTGGTAACAGCTAGACTAGGGTTATGGGATTTGGGGCAAGACCACCAAGATGACGAACTGCCACACTCATCCAGCAAGTTTGTGTGAGCTTGATCCCCTGGCAGAAGTTGCGCTGCTCAGTTTTCTCCACTGTAAAGTTGCTTCCCCAACCCTTCCACACTGTACTTCTGGGAAGCAAATCACTAGACATAGCCCCCTCTGAGGGCCGGGCAGCCATGCTGAATACTTCCTGAAGGGTATTTGTATAAAAGCCTGAATCAGAGCAGTCATCCTCCATTGTTATGAAATAAAATTAGCCACCCTGAAAACTCCCACACCTGGAACTGTTTATCTTAGCTCAGAATGCCCCCTGCCCACCTCTCTCAATCTCTCCTAATCTCTCCTTGGCCTGCTCTGCTCCAGCCATGGCAGCCCCTTCTTACCTCAAACATGCCAACCTTGTGCCCACTTTCGGACTTTTAAGCCACACTCTTTGATATAAAGGAGACTCTCCTTACCCCAACACCTCTTATGACTGAGTGCATGAATCCTCACTCGATAGATGAGGCTTTGAAAGATATTGGTAAGAAAACTGAGGTAAGGTCACCAAGTTAGAGCTGCAGAGCTGGGATCAATCCCAGGTCTCACTGACCACTTCTCACGCCTTGCCAAGAACAGAAACTCCCAATGGGGAAAGAAGGTTGCTCTGGAGAATAGAGGGATCACCCTTTTCTTGGGGAGGGAAAACATGGACTCAGTCTCTTAGCAACTCAAGCGCTGGTTCCGCAGGAGAGGAGGGGATCAGGCTGGTAGGGGCCTCTGCTGCCCCACATGGTGGGAGCCTTACCCCTTACTCACTGAGCACCCAAAGTGGAGAGGGAATTGCCACCCCAGGGCACAGCAGAGAAAGGTGTGGCCTCCAGGGCCAACGAGGGGGCTCCAGGGGCATCTGCAGCGCAGCCTGGAGGAACCCCCAGGAAGACGTGTGCTGCGACCCCCGAGGCTTACCATCCTCCGTTTCCACATAGAGGCGGAGTCCCAGGTCCTGGTTACGGTTCAGCAACCAGCGGTCGCTGGCTACTGTCACATCCAGCACCAGCCAGCCCTCGTCCCCAGCGTGGAGCGTCTGAAGATCCAAAAAGAACAAGTCAGACTCCCTGTGGACACGAAAGAACAATTAACCGGGGGCCAGCACAGCTGCCTCTGACTTTCCTGTGACCCTGGAGCCCCTGGGGCGTCTCCCCTGCCTGGCTCTAGGCCAGGAGCCCGCTGTGCCTTATCTCACTGCATCTACCATACAAAGGGGTTACTGTGCCCAAGTGCAGATGGGGAAACTGAGGCTTGGTAGCTGAGTGCCATCCAGGGTTCCACCATCAGGTCAGGGCAGGGCTTGGAGCCAGAGCAGAAGCTGGGCCCCTCCCATGGTACCAGGGCCCTGGGTCAAGCATCTCCTGTCTCTCAGGGGGTGCTCCCAGGATGCCCCCTTCTGTCCTCTGGGACATGTCCCCCCAGGGCCCACCCACCCACAGAGTCTTGCCCAGGAGGAGGCGCTCAGGGCAGGCACCTGTTGATCTGCTCCCTGACCACCTCGAACACGCTGACATGGAGGGTCCCATTGAGTGGGTGGGTGCTGGGCAGCTTGTAAATCCGGAACTCAGCGGCTGTGACAGCCTCTCCCGCCGGGATCTGGGTCAGGTCGAAGAGGAACTCCTTCCAGTGGGGCGCCTGGTGGCCCAGCGTGCGGTCACGCTCCACTGCAAGGAAAGACAGGTTGGTGGTCACTCGCGGTGCTGCTGGGCTTGGCTCTGTGTGGGCAGAGCTGGGTGGGAGCCTGGGGCCTGGACAGCAGGGGCGCCTGCTCCTAGACTCTCTCCTCTGGGTGCTGAGGGGCTCCTAGAAGCCCAGCAGTGAGGGGCCCAACACAGAGCCTGGCATACGTGGGTGCCAGCAAGGGCTGCTTCCATTCCTGACAGGTAAGTGCCCAACCCAGAGCTCCATTTCAGCCCCCTGCTGGCTCTGGGACTCACAGGTGAGTCAGAAGATGGGCTTGTGCTCTGGGGAGACGGAAGTCTGACCCGGTCGGAACAGGGCCTGGGGGAGCGGGGGCTGGGTGGGGACACAGCCAAGCATTTTTTTTTAATTTATTTGTTTGTTTGTTTTGTTTATACAAGCACTGGATACAGTCAGAAGCACGGGAGGGTGAGAGAATTCACCAGAGCCATAGTGGGAAGCACAGCAGGCAGAAGGACCGAAGTACACTGCTGAGGGGAGCAGCGGGCGGCAGGAGAGGTCTGCGCGCCATGTGGGACCCTCCTCCGGTGGCCGGGGAGCAGCCGGGAATCGAACCGGCGCCGCAGCCGCGGGCAGCTTCGCAACCCAGCGCTCAACCGCTGTGCCATCTGGGAGGCCCCACAGCCAAGCATTTTTAGTGGGGCTCTCCCAGAGGCTGTCCAGGTGGCTGGAGGTGGGGGAGAGGGCGCACTTGCAGACGCATGGGGTTTGACTGGGGTAGGGAATATTTCCACAACATTCAGGGAGAGGGTCGCTGTAGGGGGACCGACCAGTGTGAGCAAAGGCCTGGAGCTGAGGAATGGACGGCACAGGCAGGGAAAACAACCGCAGACACAGCAAAGTGTGAAAGGAGGAAGGAGGCCAGGAGGGGGACAGGGAAAGGAACAGGCACAAGGTGGGAGTGATGCCCCTGGAGAGGCCCAGTCAGTGCTGGGGAAGGTGGACGGGCCCTTGGTGTGGTGGATCTGAGCAGGCTTCCAGGAGGAGGTGACATCTGATCTGGCTTTGAAGGATGGGATAGAGTATTGGGAGGAGGAGGAAGTGTGAAGGTGGCACTCTAGGCAGAGGGGACCTCGAATTCAGGTGTGGAGGTGTCATGCCACCCACAGATCAGCAGTGTGGGGTGTTGGGTGGGCGGGTCTGGCCAGGGCCCGACTGCAGAGGGTGGAAACCCAGCCCTGGAGGGGGTGCAGTGCCCCAGCCAGCAGGGCGCAGGGCCCCGGGCAGCAGAATGGTTTGGTTGGAGAATGGCTGGTGCCGCAGCCAGTGGAGCAGAACGGTTTGGTTGGAGAGTGGAGCCGAGGAAGGGCGGACGGGAGGCGAGGCCCAGGCTGGAGGGGGCACCCGAGCAGGAGGGTGCGGGGGCTGGGCTGACACGCAGGGTGAGAGCCCTGGGTTACAGAGCAAACCCCACGTTCCCTGCAGCCGGAAATGCCCAGGACAGTCTATTTAGGACCGTCTCGCTCTGTCCTCCTGTCACTCTCAAGCGCTAAAATCTGTGTTTCCGGAAAGCAGGGGTGGGTGCCGCCCTGCGCCTCCCCCAAAACCCTGCACTGAGATTTTAATTACATGTCTGTGAGTCTTTTAAAAAGTTCTCTCTCTGGCTACTGGGCTCAGTGACCACAAGTCACCAGGCCGGTGGCCAGCAGATGTGGAAGCACTTCATGTCCTCCCGGTGGGCAGGAGCTGTGCTGACAGGTCAGCAGACAATGTGCTGGCCATGGGAGGTGAGCGGCTCATCCCTAGGTCAGGGAGGAGACACAGAACGGGCAGTGCTCCAGTGGGGTGGACACCAGCGACAGAGCTGGATTGTGTCAGTGGCCATGCGATATAGGTGGGGTCCCCCCTGAGCAGGCAGAGCTGGCGGGCAGGCCTGGCCCTCTGCCCAGTGGTGTTCACAGTGAATATCTATGCTGGTCCCCCCTCCCTACAGATGCTGGACACAGGGGGTTTGTGGTTTTAGGGCCCACACAGACCCCTCCCGATGGCCTGTGAGAATCCCTGCTCTGCAGGATGAAACAGGTCCAGGCCGCGGCACAGAGCGTCAGGAAGGCCGCTCAGGCACACGTGCGCTGACCCCTCTCAAAGTATCTTATCTGCTGGGGGGCTGTGGGTGAGTCCTGGGGCTCCCTGGGAACCTCTCCAAGCCGACGCTGACTTCAGTGGGCCCCGGGCGAGGGAACAGCCTGCTGCCTCCTCTCAGACTCCATCCCTGGGCCCCCTGCCTTGCTGACCCAGGGGATCAAGAGGGCCTTGTGTAAATGACCCCACCCCAGGTCCAGACTTCCGTCCTGTGGGTTGGTGAGATGGCACACCACCCAGGAGTTCCAGCGCAGGAAACTGCCCACCCTGGCTGTTCCAGGCAAGCACCAGAGGGCGGGACATTTTTAGGAAAATGATGTCCATCAAAAATTGGTAAAATTTCCTGGGCTGCAACATTCAACGAGACTTTACTGTAACTGGCCAGAGGGAGTGGCCCTTTCCTGCTGGAAATGTGTGGATCTAGAGCTTTCTAGCAGTTGTTCCTTATGATTAGGAAAGATAATTCTCAACAACTGGTGTAAGGGAATTGCGTTTGTTGGCACCTGGATTTGCACGGCAGACAGTTCCTGGGCAGGCCGTCCCAGCTTCAGCCAGCACTGAGAAGTGTAGAAGCTCTGGTCAGTAGTGGGGTTCCTGGTCCCAACTCTGACTCACCGGCAACCAGGTGCTTACCTTGGGTGGCCTCAGTCTCCTTATCTGAAAATGGGGATACTTGACTCCTTTCCACTAGGGCTGGAAAGGGCTTTGTGATGTGCAGGGACTAGGAGGTAGGAGCAATGGCCATTCCTCAGGACCTAGGTCGGGTGCTGACCTCTCACTTCCTAACTTAATAGGTGTATGACGTGATCACCTCCAGCAGCTCCAGAACTGTTTGAAACTCCAAAGTCATGGCAGGGTGGGGGCATTCAATTTTCTTTTGTGAAATAAGAAAAAATAACATAAATATGTTTGAAGTTAACTGAAAGGCATTTGGAGGCCTCAGCGTGACACCTTTATACCTGTCTGACCTTTGTCAAGGCACTTGATCTTCCAGGCCTCAGTATCCACACCTGCCAAGTGCCAGAGTCAAATGAAAACTGCAGAAAGCCATGCTTGTTATTACAGTTGGCACTTGGTTATGGTCCAGCAAATGCTTCTGACATTGTTCAGGAGCGTTTCCTTTTCAGTGTACCTTCATGCCCAGCCTCCACCTTCCCCTATAACCAAGGTCTGGAATCTCCCAAAGATGCCCAGGATCGGGGAGGCAGCCCCTGTCATGCCAGTAGGGCCATCTCCTGAGTTCTGCTCAGACACAAGGCAAAACTTGCCCATTTCTTAATGAAGGCGCTGGAGATTCCAGAACATCCAACTCAAAGAGATCTCTATCTCCATCCACACATGTGGAAACAGAGCCCAAGAGCCCTGACTCCCCCGGGCTTCCTCCTGGACAGCGGACCGCCAGTATCTGATCTGGAATAAATCAGTATAAAGACCAAGCTGAGACTGGCCTGTCCCTGCTTCCTACCCGCTGTTATTGTTTGATGATCCACGCAGGGAATTTATGGGAAAGAGCAAGGTCTGCACAACGTGATTTCATGGGTTTTCCCAGTAAAATTCTGCTGGCGGTTATGGGGCTGGAAAGTTCACGCTCAGGTCCCTTGGCAGATTCAGACAGGCCGGGGTGGGTGGAGGTGGGGGTGGGAGGAAGGGACGGGAGCGTATTCCCAGGGAGGCCTGTGTCGCGGATCCCAATGATCTGAGCTGTATCCTGCCAGCAATCCTCTCCCCATCGTGGTCCTGGGGCCAGGCAGGGAGGACCCCTGCTATTGGGAGCAAGGTGACTGGGTATTCAATAACTTCTCCCAGCTGCAAAATCTGGGCAGGCATTTCTAACCTGGGGATCCTCCAGTTACACCTCTGGGTATGCGGAAGATTTCTGACTATGCTACTTTCTCATGGTCTGGACACTTGCTAAGAACATTCCCTTTTCCTCTCTCAACTTTTGTTGATTTGCCAATTATTTACCTGCCTAGGTATTGTGGGCGTACAACTTCACACTGTCTATGTGCACCGAAGCTCCAGCGCCAACATCCTATCCCCTCCCTCCCCATCTCCTGCTCCTTCTTCCCTTCCCCTCTGATGACTAGTATCTTTTTCAGAGCAGGAGTATTAACTCACTCGTTTATTAAACACATTTGAAAGCAGTGCTTTCAATGTAGGCACCAGGGAGATGGCCTCGCCATCCCTTGCACCAGGCACCCTGTCCCTGGCTGGTCTACCCTCTGGACAGTGAGCAGTTTGAAGGACCAAACAGGAGGCTCTCAGTGGCCTGCTCATCAAACCCTCCACTTTCAGGGGAGCCCAGAGTTTCGGGAGATCCGGCCCTTCTTCCCAAGGTCTCCTTGTCCCCAGCCGGCAGCTCAGCATCCGGCTTCCGTGGCCCTGGGCGGGGCACCATGCTGGGCCAGGGTGGCTTCCATGTCACTGTGTGTCTCCATCAGAAGCGCCATGTTCCCGCCCAGCTGGGACTGCCCTCCTCTCGCGGCTGGGCCCCGGGGTGGACAGGCTGGGCCTGTCTGGCTAGTCCAGCCAGTGACAGAGCCAAGGGCCCACACAGGTCCGGAATAAGCCAGTCTCTATGCGGTGCGGCCCATGAGGAGCCACAGCACTGACCACCGTGGACGCTGCTCCCTGAGGGCCTGCTCCTGCCCAGAAATCTCAGTGCTGCCGAGAGAAGGCCCAGGCTTCCTTTCTGGGGTATTTTTAGTCACTTCTCATCACGGGCTTTTTTCAAGCGCGGTTTCCATAAATGGCTCCGCGCTCATAATGACTGGCCCAGCCCTCAGACGGCTTCAGACCCCGAATTAAAAGGGAACACCCGCACACTCCACCACATCAAACCCGCCATGGCCAAAAACAGACCCAAGGAGCTGTGAGCAAG